GCACTGAGTTCATTTTCCAACTTGATTAAAGTGTAAGGAAACCCAGCAGATTGCATCGAGTCACTGACTTATTTTGACAGACTTTATGATACTAAGCAAACATGTAGGGATAGTGGAGAGGAAAACTCCTCTTTGACAAGAAGAAACATCCAACAGAACATGACTCAGCAGCCTGTGACAGAAGCACACAAAATGGTATCAACTTTGGAAACGTTTGACTTTGGCTTTTCTTTGACTCAAAAGCAAATAGAGGTACCCAAATTTATTTTAATAAAGGATAGATTTGCATCACCTTTAAAGGAGTATGGCGGATATCCGTAGCGCTGCGTATGTCACGTTGTCTGTTATCCAATAGCATGTGGAGACAGTTTCAAAGACAACCGTAAATTCAGCTCCTGGACTGAGCCGTCAATGTACTATGGCCAAACGATACTGCACATTCTCGTGGCTTGCCAAGCTAGTAACCTTCATTTTGTCACCAAATAAAACACATATAGCACACATAGCATTGTTTTTCATTATTTGTAAATAATTTTGTAATCGTTTTTTTACACTTTTAGGGCTTGGGTGTGGAAAGCAAAGACCTAGCATCAGTCAATAAAACACCTGTTATCACCTTCCTGACAGCAGAGATAAGCAGTGATAGATTCAGCTCAGACCTGATGTTAAAGCTGGCGGATCACTCTGATGCATACCAGATAAGTCTTCCAGCCTGAGGTGATGAATCCAGTCAAATTAACCCTCCAACTGAAATCTTACATGAATTCTTTCAACTTAGTGACATCTGACACTTCTTAATGACTTCTATCGCCTGTTGTATCAGTGGCAGCGTGACCTGAAAAGCTGCTTGCTGTGAGGTGGATCCTGCCGGTTGAACATTTTGACCCAGAGGGGGAAACTCGACAAAGAGCCCATCATTAGCAATCAATGGGCGAGCCAGCGTTTGTTTGTTAACAGCCTCTTTAGAAGTCCAATGGGGCTCCTTTACAGTGCATGGGGCTGATGGCAAACCCTGACCTCTGGCCAGCTGGGTCACATTTTTTGAACACCCTGCCCCCAAACCCCAAAAACAATGGCTTCCCCACTTGTCAAACTGGACTGCATTTCTTTATCTGCTGACTTTGGCTGAGAGCCGTCGTTAAAAACTGTTCTATCATTCCCCGTTGAGAGAGAGCGATAAAAACAAGAAATGTTCAACAAGATTGCTGACTGGAGGAAAAAAAAGTGAATTCACTCCTCCTGTTCTCTACAGAAAGACTTGGTGGGGGGTGGGCTTTTCTCATGACCAGGGATCTGATTGTTTTCTAAACGGATTATTAACTCCTTTGTTACAGTAGGGGTCACTTTAATGCTTCTTAGGCCCCATTAGCATTGCTTTAGAGAGCGCGCACGCACACACACACACACACACACACACACACACACACACACACACACACACACACGCACACGCACGCACACACACACACACACGCA